AAAACAGGCCTATATACATATAAAACTTTGTATATTACAGATAAGCCATGTCAAATTGAGATAAACTGAGAGACTGTTCAATAAATGGATGGGGCACCTGGGTGGCTCAGTCGGTTAAGCGGCTGCCTTCGACTCAGGTCATGATTCCAGGGTCCTGGGATCGAGCCCCACGTCGGGATCCCTGCTCAGCAGGGAGCCTGCTTCTCCCTCTCCCTTCCACTCCCCCTGCTTGTACTCTCTCTCTAATAAAAAATTTAAAAAATCTTAAAAAAAAAATAAATAAATGGAGCTAAGAAAAAAAGGGTTATCCATTTGGAAAAAAATTAGCTTGAATCTCTACCTCACATCACACACAAAAATCAATTCCAGATGCATTAAAAATTTAAATGAAGAAACAGGACTTTAAAAAATATGTGTGAATATAATGTAGCCATGAAATAAAGAAGTTTTTAAAACAAGACATAAAAAGCATTAAGTATAAAAGAAAAGATTAATAAATTTGGCTACATTTAACTTAAGTACTTTATCTTAAAGCAAGTGAAAAGTTACACACTGGAAGAAGAGGCTTGCAATTCACATAACTGATAAGGGATTAGTAAAGGAGTATACAAAGAACTCCTAAAAATCATAAGAAAAACACCAATAAGCTAATAGAAAAATGAGCAAATATAAGATTAGGCTTTTCACAAAAGAAACTATTATATGGCCAATAAATATGAATTTTGACAATATGAAGTATTAGAGAGAATGTGAATTTCTAGAATCTCTTATATGCTGCTGGGGGAATGTAAATTAGATCAACTATTGTGGAAAACAGTTTGGCTTATATACAAACATTAAACATCCAAATTCTCTAATGACACAATAATCCCACTTCTAGGCATATGTACAAAAAAAGTCTTGGACATGTCCACCAAGGAGTATATACAAAAAATGTCACAGCACCACTTTCCAAAACAGCAAATATTGAGACACAACCTGAATGCCCATCAATAGGAGAGTAAATGAGTAAACCATGGAATGTTCACACAATGATATATAACAGAGTAGCTGAAACCAGTGAACCACAGTGACACGTTCAAAAATATGGATGAATCTCAGAATTACAACATTACAAGAGAAGATATATGTGAATCCTTTTGATAAAGTTAAAACAACTAAAATAAAAATATGTTCAAGAAACTCCTATAGATTCAATGAAACTGTATAAAAATGGAAGCAAGATGGGGTGTCTGGGTGGCTCAGTCAGTTAAGCATCTGACTTCAGTTCAGGCCATGATCTTAGGGCCCTGGGATCAAGGCCCGCGTCAGGCTCCTCACTCAGTGGGGAGTCTGCTTGTCCCCTTCTCTCTCCCTCTGCCCCTCCCCCAACTCGTGCTCTTCTGTCTCTCTCTCAAATAAATAAATAAAAATCTTTAAATTAAAAAAAATGGAAGCAAGACAACACCAAACATGGGATTCAGCGTTTTGGTTAATCAGGATGAGAAAGACAAGAGGATGGTTTAGGAGACATCTCCAGAGTCAGATGTAGGTTATGGTAAAGGTTCTACATTTTATGTTGGGTGGTGGCATCACTGGTGGTTTTTACATTATTAAAAATAGCTAAACAAACAAACAGAAGACTAGAAGAGGACCATGCGTGGACCAATAATGGAGATTGTGTCAGTGATCAAGGATTATGACTGATCAGTTCATGTACCAGTTGTTGAAGTCTAAAAAAGTCTTAGGTACATGAACTGATCAGTCATAATCCTTGATCACTGACACAATCTCCATTATTGGTCCACACATGGTCCTCTTCTAGTCTTCTGTTCATGTACCTAAGACTTTTTTAAAAAGAAGAAAAAAGGGAAGGAAAGAAGGAAGAGAAATTGTGTATAGGATGCTATATATCATATATAAATTTCATTTCTTTTTTTTTTTTAAGATTTTATTTATTTGACAGGGAGAGACATAGTGAGAGAAGGAACACAAGCAGGGGGAGCGGGAGAGGGAGAAGCAGGCTTCCCGCTGAGCAGGGAGCCCGACGCGGGGCTCGATCCCAGGACCCTGGGACCATGACCTGAGCCGAAGGCAGACGCTTAACAACTGAGCCACCCAGGCGCCCCTGCTCCTCCCCTTTATAATAAATATTTTCCTAGACCTCTTTGTTGTTTTGAAATGAAATTTAGAGGCACCTGGGTGGCTCAGTTGTTAAGCGTCTGCCTTCGGCTCAGGTCATGGTCCCAGGGTCCTGGGATCGAGCCCCGCATCGGGCTCCCTGCTCTGCAGGAAGCCTGCTTCTCCCTCTCCCACTCCCCCTACTGTGTTCCCTCTCTCATTGTCTCTCTGTCAAATAAATAAATAAAATCTTTTTTTAAAAAAAAGGGGGAGGAGAAAGGTATCTATGATAGAGTTGCAAAACACTACCCTATCCAAATGCTGGTCTGTTTTTACTATAAACTCTGAACCTCTATGTCATGTTGTGTCACTCATAAGGTGCCGCATATATTGCCTAGATTGTGGATTTTTAATGTACTTACAGTATCTCCCCTGGACTCTAAGTTTCTTGAAGGCTCTGGATTCTCCACAATGCAGGGTAAACACTCACTAATTTGTTGAATGAAAAAAATATACTATTTAACTTGGTGCTTTAATTTCCTTGAGAAGCAGGTTTAGTGAAGACACTAATTTACACCAGATAACTGGCCCTCCACTTTTTGGAGTTTATCAGGCACTCTTAGGAACACAGCATCTGAAATGTCAGAACACCTACTCCTGGATGCAAATGTTTTAACTTAGTTTTGACCCATAGTTATTCAAGCCTAAAATACTCTAATTCCCAAGGAATCTCAATAGCTCCATTTATGTAATAAAAATAGTTAAAATATATTAAGTACCTTGAACAAAGAAATTATTTTTGTCCCTGTATTACTAATAAGGGAACTGCAATTCATTGAGGTTAAGAATCTTTTCCATGGCATTGTTGGCAATGGCAGGACAGGGATTTGACTTCAGATGGTTTTATGCTGAACTAGCCTGTCTCTTTCAAATATGTTATTGCCACCTGGGGACCTTTTCATATCTTCATCAAGTTTTTCTTTATTTCTTGGTTGTTGTTTTTGTTGTTGTTTGTAAGGGTCCTTTACAGATAGAAGGCAAGGTCTGCAGGGTTCTATTTGCTGAGGCCACAGAAGAATATAAAACCATTTCTAAAGATTAAAAGGCACAGAAAAGGCAAAGGACCCCTCTATGCATAGAAATCCAGAGGTAAGAAAAGCACTTGATGCACTTATAAAACAAAACAATGTTATTAAATTATTCAATAGGAGTAAGTGACTAAATCAACTGAAGTTTCTATATCATCCTCAAATTCTACTACCATATGTAGCAACCATCCCTTTCAAAACCATTTGAACTCTCAGTCCCAAGACATTCCCACATATGCAGGCAGCAAGAATCATTAGAATGAATGACAACATCTTACACACTTGAGACAGAAACTCTCACTTAGGAAGCAAAGCCATTGGGAGTTTTGTTTTGTACAAGGAGTTTCCCCAGAGTAAAACCCTTAACAGAGAAGGGGGAAAAAGTGCCCTGAAATCTTTGTCAGGGTCCCAGGAAGAGATGAGGGGAAGCCATTTAGGAGACTTACTGCAGATCCGGGAGAGAGATGGTGGCAGAAAGAAGGGTAGCAGTAGTGGAATTCCGAGAGAAATATACAGAGTGGATATATTGCAAAGGCAGATTGTCAGAATGTGGGGAGTTCAGCAGCAGGAGGCTTGAAGGAGAGGCTTGGTTTCTGAGTTGGTTTCATGGTCCACCAGCACAGGCCCTGGGAGTGTGTTCCATAACTCTCTACACAGAAAGCCCAAAAAAAACATTACAGCACTTTTGAGATAATTGGATGGCTGGTTGTCAAAGCCATCATGAACGGCTCTCTAGTACTGCAAGCTACTTTGCAAGCCAAAAACTGATGCCAACTTTCTTTGATAAAAATAGCATCTTCTGGGATGCCTAGGTGGGTCAGTCATGATCTCAGGGTCCTGGGGTTGAGCCCCACATTTGGCTCTCTGCTCACGGGGGATTCTGCTTCTCCCTCTCCCTCTGTGTGCATGCGTGCTCTCTCTCTCTCTCTCAAATAAATACATAAAATCTTAAAAAAAAAAAAAAAAAGAATAGCATCTTCTGACCACGGACTTCAAAGACCTTTCCCATCCAATTTATTATCTTCATGGCTAAACTGCAGAAATGAGAACAAGCATAGGATATATCTGACTATGAAGGGTACCAGTCTTGGGAGAAAGAAGTGATACTACAAATCATTTCTTGCCTCTTAGAAATGTGAAAAAATGCTCAAATGAAGTGATTTGGGTACCAGCCCCATCAGTGAATTCCACAGCACACTCCAACTGCAAGGAATAAATTTTTCAAGGGTAGTACCACTTGTGGTGTCTACTCTGCTAATTCCTTTTTCTAAAACATGTTTTGTGATCTGCCTAATAAATTAGTTTGGATAATAACACCATAAGCCTCAAAATAGAAATTATTTGATCAAAAGCAAGATATATGAAGAAGGAAACATATTACTATATAAAATATTAATAGAGCTGGAACTACCAAAGAAAAAAAGATTAAGTCTCAGTGAGGTTAAATTTCTCACCATCTGAGCATAAATGTTCCCAAGTGTGGATTCAGCATACAGTCTTTTCCAAAAGTCTTAGATTGAACAGATGCTCCTAAAGGTCAGTGAACTACATGACAAATTTGGCACTAATTTATTCTTTTCTTCCCTGTTTACGGGTGAGAGGTGAGAGGTGGTGGAAAGCGGGTCAGTTCTATCATCATCAATAGACACACACGGACAAAATATCAAGCTGGACTCCAGAGGAATCAATCTGGCCATCCTGCAGAAAATGGCCCGGACTGGATGGGAAACAGAAATAATAACTTGGCAAATGGTTTTGCAGAAGTCTTCCTTTATCAAGGAAAATGTTTAATCACAGTTGAGGTTGAAGTACACATAAATAAACAATGTTTACTAAAAAGAAGTGGTTATTTTTACAAGATAAATAAGAAACAGTCATTTCCAATTAGCTTTATAAGAGAATGCCAAATAGAAATTAGAGGAGATTTAATCATCTCATGTTTTGGCAGGGAGAAACATAAGCACACGAAGAACCAAACCTCATGCTTTTAGCTCCTATACATTTTGCCTAAATGAAATTCTTCTATATGGTCAACATGGCTCCATTTATGCAGCAAAATCTACCCTGAGTCCAACTTCATTTTCTCAAAGCCTAAATCCTTTCAATAAGGCACCAAATAATTTTATTTCCAAATGCTTTCTTATTGCTAGGAATGGTGCAATGCACTTACTTACTGATACATGTTTCAGCTTTCCAAGATTTTGTTGGAAATAAAATGATCCTTTATGACATTCTATAATATTCCATCCCATTAATTGCTTTCCAGAATTTCTATCATTAATTAAAGGGCCTTCTTTCACCCTCCCCCCCAAAAACGCTAATCTATTCCCCAACTGCCTATCAGAGACTAAATAAAAGTCAGTGTTCACAGCAGCAGTGATGGTCATGCCAATTTCACAGTGTGATTTGTGCACTCATTTCATTTTGAAAATGACCCTGCCCTCCATCTGTCTAAACCGAATGTCCTGCTTTTCTCAAGCCAGGCCTCAGGAACAGTAGCACATGAAACAAGGGGAAAGACACAGAGCAGCCTCCCTCCTGCCCCCGTCAGCTGCCACGCCCACAGACAGGCACCAACACAGAGGGGCCCCCAACTGACTCCTGAAGGGATCAGGGAAATTTGGGGGAGAGCAGATAGTCCATTTTTCATCCATTTCCAAGAAGCCATTTGAAGGTGAATGCTTTCGTGATACAACTCTGAAACAGACTAAAAGATATAAAAGGCAATTTCCCATTTCTATGTTCTGTCATTTCACCTTGATTTAATAGCAAATTACCAAAGGTAACAGCTTAATACATAAGAATTTAAAATACATTAAGATTTTAAAATATTGAGGCTTTTGGGTGCCTGGGTGGCTCAGTCGGTTAAACGTCTGCCTTCGGCTCAGGTCACGATCCCAGGGTCCCGGGATTGAGCCCCGTATCGGGCTCTGTGCTCAGCGGGGAGTCTGCTTCTCCCTCTGCCTCTCTCTCTCTCATGAATGAATGAATGAATGAATGAATGAATAATAAATAAATAAATAATTTTTAATAATAAAATAAAATAAAATATTGAGCCTTCTGAATAAGAATTTTTTTTCAAGCAATAAGTGTTAAATCAGGCAGCCATAAAGGAGAAGACACTCTATTTCTTGACTATTCAGCCACACTAGCTAGCATCCCTCAAGCCATGTACCTCCTTTAGTTGAAGACCAGAAAAGGCTGCAGCCAGAGACTGGGTTGGAAGAAGCTTTTGAGTAGGGTTATATAGTGGTCTTCCTCAGCTGTTTTCTCAGGGAATCTCGAGTGGCCCAGGGCCCCCCTCAATTCCTCTGAAATGTGTGCAGTTTCTCCTTTTGTTAGTCTTCATGCAGTGAAAGGCTCCTCATCTGGTCCCATCTAGAAGAACACAAGTTTGGCAAATTTCTCAACAAGGGAAAAGAATGCATAAGTACATGAAGTCAGTTGCTTGATAGTATAGTATCCAGATGCCTTATTGAAATCTCTTTTCAGCTATAATAGGTGACTAGGAACTACATTGCCACTCACCAATCACTTCCTTACATCTGCTAACAGCTGCAACTCAGGCCAGGAAGTTCAAATTTTAATGCCCAAATCAAGGTGATTGTTTTAATAGGAAAAATAACAACCAAAAAAAAAAAAAAAAAAAGACACTAGTATTCCCTCAAAAATGGGCCCTTAGGTAATACATACATTCAATTAATTCAACAGTCTCTCTTTCCTAATAACTTAGCTTTTGGATGTCATGGCTCAGCTGGGTTTTTTTTTTTCTTCTCTATCTAATAAGCAGAGATCGGGTGATTATTAAGCTTAGAGATAATCTATGTAAACAGTGTCATAGAGTGCCCTGCAATATGGTTGATGTTGGCTCCAAAATGTATTTATAGAAAAGGCTTATAGGCTGCAATACTATTGAGGCAGATAAGGGATTTGCATTGAAATATTTAATTATATAGCAAAGACATGCTTTTACCTGGACTATGTTTAGCTTGGATTGTAGTGAGGCCAATGGAAATGTGGAAGACTATGAAAGAAAACCCTCTTACCCCAAGGCACTGCATACGATATTCATAAATTATAGCTATTTTTTTTCCTTTAGAGAGAGAGAGACACACACACACACACACACACATATATATATAGAGAGAGAGAGAGAGAGAGGAGAGGCAGACAGAGACTCTTAGGCAGGCTCCATGCCCATCATGGAGCCCAACATGTGGCTCATTCCACAACCCCAAGATCATGACCTGAGCCAAAATCAAGAACCAGATACTCAACCAAATGAGTCACCCAGGTGCTCCATAAACTACAGCTAATTTTATTATCTTAAGAACTGGTGTTACCTCACTGGGATAAGCCAGTTTTGCCTTTTGCTATCTTGTCTATGTCTCTACTTCCTGACTGAAAAATTATATTCATTTCTCACAAATTTTACAGTCTCCGTATCAGTCTAAACTATGGGTATGTTTTTTATTAGTGATCCATTATAATTTTATAGGATAATTAAGTCCCTAGTTTTCCACTGTCCCATGAGGGACAATATTGAATTCAAAAGTATTTATACAAATATAGACCAGAGATAGTAACATGGAATCTAGAGTATCTATTCCAAATATATGACAAAGGAACAAAAGAAAATCCAGGATTTTTTTTGTACCATAGCAAATTTCCAGAGATCTTCAAACTAAGAATCCGAGAGAAAAAAATTAAAGTGTAGGAAATTTTCTTTTTATTTTAACTGAAAGAAAATCAGTTTTTATCAGTGATATCCAAAAACATTAAAGCCTGACAAGTACAGGCTGAATCAATCTCTCTTTCACACACACACACACACACACACACGTACAGGGTGAATCAATCTTTTCTCACACACACACGTACAGGCTGAATCAATCTTTTCACACACACGTACAGGCTGAATCAATCTTTACACACACACACTCTTTACACACACACACACACACAAAAGTCGTTTTGGAGAGTTAGAGGAGTTAACAGGTTAGGGACACTTGGTCGTGCTTTTATTCCCACCCCACCCTGGAAAAGACTAGGTCATACATCTTTCCACCGTCTCTATGTAGTAGTGAAATTTGGAGGATCGAGGCAGGGTGTAGCACCAAGTGTAAACCCTAAAGAAAGGGAAACAGTGAAACCTCACCTCCTGACGACTGTGCGTCCGCCCGGCAGAGACTACGCCTCCCAGCATGCAACGCGGTCACGACCAGGACAGCGGCGCGATTGGACCGGAGCATGACGGGACGTGGAGTTTCGGTCCCCGAACTACCTGGAGGAGTTTCTTCTTTGCTAACGCCGCTCACACTCTGGAGTCTTGGTGACAGGCCATATATGAGATACATTAGTGACTCCTTTCTAACCCTAGTCTGGTCTTCACCTTGCAAAGTAACTTTGGAGTAAGCAAAAAACCACAAAAAGAAAAAAACTGAAATATTCTTTGTGTCTTCCGTTTCCGGCGGACTTGTTGCCGTGGTAACCAGCGCGCACCACCACCGCGGCGGTCATGGCCGGGCTGAGCGGCGCGCAGATCCCGGATGGGGAGTTCACCGCCGTCGTGTACCGCCTCATCCGCGATTCCCGCTACGCCGAGGCGGTGCAGCTGCTGGGCGGCGAGCTCCAGCGGAGCCCGAGGAGCCGCGCCGGCCTGTCGCTGCTGGGCTACTGCTACTACCGCCTGCAGGAGTTCGCGCTGGCCGCCGAGTGCTATGAGCAGCTGGGCCAGCTGCACCCCGAACTGGAGCAGTACCGCCTGTACCAGGCCCAGGCCCTGTACAAGGCCTGCCTTTACCCAGAGGCTACCCGCGTGGCCTTCCTCCTGCTGGACAACCCCGCCTACCACAGCCGGGTCCTCCGTCTGCAAGCCGCGATCAAGTACAGCGAGGGCGACCTGCCAGGGGCCAAGAGCCTGGTGGAGCAGCTGCTGAGTGGGGAAGGGGGAGAGGACGGTGGGGGCGAGAACGAGCCCGACGGCCAGGTCAACCTGGGTTGTTTGCTCTACAAGGAGGGCCAGTATGAAGCCGCGTGCTCCAAGTTCTTGGCGGCCCTCCAGGCTTCGGGCTACCGGCCTGACCTTTCCTACAACCTGGCTTTGGCCTATTACAGCCGCCGGCACTATGCCCCGGCGCTCAAGTACATCGCCGACATCATTGAGCGTGGCATCCGCCAGCACCCGGAGCTAGGTGTGGGCATGACCACGGAGGGCATTGATGTTCGAAGCGTTGGCAACACCTTAGTCCTTCACCAGACTGCCCTGGTGGAAGCCTTCAACCTCAAGGCAGCCATCGAGTACCAACTGAGAAACTATGAGGCGGCCCAGGAAGCCCTCACTGACATGCCACCTCGGGCAGAAGAAGAGTTAGACCCCGTGACCCTGCACAACCAGGCGCTCATGAACATGGACGCCAGGCCTACGGAGGGGTTTGAAAAGCTACAATTTTTGCTCCAGCAGAACCCCTTTCCCCCAGAGACCTTTGGCAACCTGCTGTTGCTCTACTGTAAGTATGAGTATTTTGACCTGGCAGCCGATGTCCTGGCAGAGAATGCCCATTTGACCTACAGGTTGCTCACACCCTATCTCTATGACTTCCTGGATGCCATGATCACTTGCCAGACAGCCCCTGAGGAGGCTTTCATTAAGCTTGATGGACTAGCAGGGATGCTGACTGAACAGCTCCGGAGACTCACCATACAAGTTCAGGAAGCAAGACACAGTAGGGACGATGAAGCTGTCAAAAAGGCAGTGAATGAGTATGATGACACTCTGGAGAAGTATATTCCCGTGTTGATGGCCCAGGCAAAGATCTACTGGAACCTGGAGAATTATCCAATGGTGGAAAAGATCTTCCGCAAATCTGTGGAATTCTGTAATGACCATGATGTGTGGAAGCTGAATGTGGCTCACGTCCTGTTCATGCAGGAAAACAAATACAAAGAAGCTATCGGTTTCTATGAACCCATAGTCAAGAAGCATTATGACAACATCCTGAACGTCAGTGCTATTGTGCTGGCTAATCTGTGTGTTTCATACATTATGACAAGTCAGAATGAAGAAGCTGAGGAGTTGATGAGAAAGATCGAAAAGGAGGAAGAGCAGCTGTCCTATGATGACCCAGATAAGAAAATCTACCACCTCTGCATTGTGAATTTGGTGATAGGGACCCTCTATTGTGCCAAAGGAAATTATGACTTTGGTATTTCTCGGGTTATCAAAAGCCTGGAACCTTACCATAAGAAACTGGGAACTGATACCTGGTATTATGCCAAAAGATGCTTCCTCTCCTTATTAGAAAACATGTCAAAACACACGATCATGCTTCGTGACAGTGTCATTCAAGAATGTGTCCAGTTTCTACAACAATGTGAACTTTATGGCAGGAACATACCTGCCATTATTGAACAACCCCTGGAAGAAGAAAGAATGCATACTGGAAAGAATACAGTCACCTATGAATCCAGACAGTTAAAAGCTTTGATTTATGAGATTATAGGATGGAATATATAGTCATGTCTGATAGTCTTTTATCATAATAGCTTTATATATCTGCATTTTATAGTTTTATCTATATTTGGCCATTGGCATCTTTACATTTGTCACATGTTAAACTTTGTACATTTGAAAATCATATTAATTAGATTAACCTTATTTTAAGTTTGACACCTAGAAAGATATATGAAAAATTCAAAACTGAATTGGGACTCTGTGTTTATTAGAACCTGTAGTGCCTATTTTCCCTCTCCTTTGTTATCATTTGTGCTTGGCTGTATTTAGAGAGTCCCCTGCACAGGGATTACAGTTTCCAGCACTATCTTGGCACGATCAAGCCCAGAACAGAGTAGTTAACATACAGGATTTCTGGGTTTTTAGTATTAAGTTTTAGGGATTATGTGTTCTATTCTCACAACTTACCTTCATATTAATTTGAAATGCACACATTTTGCATAGAGTTTAAGATGTTTGGGCAGGGTTTTTCAATATAGATTTAACTTTCTGTAACCAAAATCCCTTAGGTGATAAATGTTTGGTTTCTTGTTTTCTTAATGTACAAGATTCAGTGGAAAATCTTGTGCCCTTAACAAAATTATGGTGCTATGGTATAAAGACAATAAACAATTGCTGAAGAAACAACTTTATGTAGTTTTCTTTTGTTCCATTTGTTAATAATGTGTACATATGAACAAGATATACTGTTACTCTTTTTTATAACTCTGTTCTCATTTATCCCTTGACAGTGACTGATAGCAAAGGTACCATGAAAACTTAGTTCTTAATTCCTACCTATTTAGGATAGGTTAATGCTGGAGTTGTTTCTGTGCTGTAGCCTCTCTGGTAAGGAAAAATCTACACAATTCCCATGACCCCGCCAAACTTCTTTCCTACCTCTATCACAGATGAAAAGTTCTGAAACCTTATCTGGTAGATCCATAATGCTAGTTTCACACCCAAAACATTTCCAGGGAGAACTCCACTCATTCTGCTTAGGGATTTCATTTTCTAAATCCTATATAAGCTTTACTATTTGTTCACCCACCCTTTTTCTATCCATAAATGTAACTGTCAACCTTAACTTGACCTGATTCAGAAAAAAAACGTATTAGGTTGAATTGTATGAAATTGCTGATCTTGAAAGTTACTGACCTACAAAACTAGCAGTTCCTCATGGTTCAATCAGATAGCTTTCAAGTAATAGTGAATCCCTGCCATAATGAGATGATTTTTTTCCTTCAAAGATATACAGACAAGATATGCACAGCATAAATCCTCTGTAGCATGACTTCCTGGGTGCTCAAATTCTATTAGATCTATCAGAAAATTTGGCCTACCATGAAGTCCAATGGTTTTAAGTTTATAAGCATTTTTAACCTTAATTATGTATGCTGATAACCATTTACCATAGGTGTTTGATCCCATGTTTGGAGGACAATCGATGTTTAATGATCTCTTCAGTATATCCCACAGCACAATTCTATATCTGGGAAATGGTCTTTGTTTAACAACTTTTGTACTAAAAATATTGCTGCTTCTTTGTGCAGTAGCTCTATGCCCTTCTCAATCTCCATAGCCCCTTAAGATTAGGAAAGTAAATGAACTGAAATCTTATTTTCAACAGCCATGTTAAAATTCTGGTGTTTTTGCACATTTCCTCTATTTTTTTTCTTAAAAAAAAAAAACAGTGTAAGTAATGTTAACCACCCAAAAGCAAATGTTTTCCAGATTCCCTTTTGCAAATAGCCTGGCCTTTATTCAGTCACATTTTATTTATCCAGGTGCTGCGTGTTTGTGGTTTGCATGTATGTGTAATTTAGCTTTCCAGAACATAAAAAGCTTTTCAGAACAGTTTTTAACCCCTTGCCGCTGGGCAGCTGGGATTTCCTGGTTAGTAATGCATCAGGAAATCCTGACTGCTCCTACCACTGAGTAAAGGAATAAACGTCAATCATGGCATTTGTCTCCTTCCTTACCCAGGCTCTCCGGAGAGGCAGCCCCTCAGATTAACAGACTGCTGCCTGGTAACAGCAAAGAATCTTGAACCACACCTATAAAGCTGCCCAGTCTTCTGAATGTTAGAGGAGACTGAGAAGGATGAGGACATTCCTAACTCTTCACTTACTCTTCTTTATTTTTAGGATATATATATATATTTTTAAGATTTTGTCAGAGTGTGAGAGAGCACAAGCAGGGGGAGTGGCAGGCAGAGGGAGAAGTAGACTCCTGGCTCAGCAAGAGCCCAATGCGGGACTCCATCCCAGGAGCCTGGCCTGAGCGGAAGGCAAGTGTTTAACCAACTGAGCCACCCAGGTGTCCCAGGATATATTTCTTTTAAACTCACCTTTGGAAGTACTTAGCTCTGCTTATTGATACTATGACACTAACAAATGACTTTACAATGACTCTATATTTTGCCATTTAACTGAAGGCTTTCATCCCTAAAGCTCTGATGAAAAGTTTTGGTCTGTGCTCCTACAACATTAGGTATTCAATGCTAAAAGCACTTTTCTTGACAAAAAAGATTTCTGTATATTTCTAAAGCTTTTACTCCTTTTTCTTCATTATGTCTGCATGGTATATTTTAAAGGGATCGAAGATTAAATCCAGTATTTCAAAATCCTAGTCAACCCCCCCATCTCCACGTGTTCAGAATATAAGCCTGTGTTTGTACACAAGTAGTTATTTCTATTTTCTCAGACATGAATAAGAGCTTGATCTTTCCATGCAGAACAACCAGCAGACTCCTTTGATCAGTGATATGACTGCCTGCCAGTGGAT